TTTCTCTGCTTCTCCCTTCCCTTTATGGGTCTACCTCTCCTTCCCTTCACATCTGATGGCTAGATGGCTTCCACTCTGTTGAACCAGGTAAACTCCTCATATCAAGACGGCAACATACAGATTTCATTACAGATAAAAATCATCCATACTACAATTACCATCAGCACCCCAAGGGTTGGGGTGATGGGATGGTCATATAAAGCATCTGGCGGTCACATGTTTAGGTCAGCTAGTGCAGTGGTTCTTAACCTTTGTTACTCAGATGTTTTTGAACTGCAACTCCCAGAACCCCCAGCCAGCACAGTTGGTGGTGAAGGCTTCTGGGAGTTGCAGTCCAAAACTGAGTAACCCAAGGTTAAGAACCAGTGAGCTAGTGTATCTGTAAAATGGTGATGGAAACATAAAGATGAGAGTGCCAGTTCTCAAAATTCCCATCTGAACACACAAGCCATGGTAGACTCAACGATTGAGCCAAACTATATTGGGTTGGGGAGAGAGTTCAGAAAGCTATTCGTTGCATAAAAATTAATTGATTGATTCAGTTCCATTCAACTTTACATCATTTCGGCTCCAGTTACTCTCATCTGGGGGTCAACGTTCCTATCCAGGTAAATACAGTGAAATCCACAGCTAAACAGTTCCATCTAGAGTCAGGACTCTTAACTGATAATAGATGGGAGCAAATGGAAAAGAAAAGATTTACATGCAAAGTAATCTAAAGGAGAATGCTGGGAATCGGAAGCCAATGCCACTTAAATTAGAGCACGAGAACTACTTTTGAAATCAATGGGCAATGTGGAAACTCAGCTACTACTGCATGCTGGCAAAGTATTTCAGAGGGGTACAGAAGACAGAAATTCAGCAGGTGAGGTTTTTGCATCACGGCAACTTTTTACTAAGTTGAACCTGTCAGTTGAATGCCACTTTTAGAACTAAAATTACTCACTTATTCCTGCTTTCCTCTGTCTACACTAGGAAAGATAAACCAGTAAACGAGATGACCAGTTCCCACCATCACAACCAATAGTCCTGGATGGCAGAGACTGTAGTTCCTAAGATTTAAGGCCACACATTTACCTTTCTAGACCTACACCTATCCTGCTCACTGTTCTTCAGGCTTTCCTTGCTTCCTGGATATCAGAGTCTCAAATTATCTTCAGCTCAAGCAGCCTTATTTATTTGGAACAAAAATCAAAACAAGAAGGTGGGAGAAAGGGGGAGAAAATGTTTCAGACTTACGTTCACATTCCTGTGCACAGAAGACCACTTTGGCTCCTTCGTGAACTGGGAAAGAAAGTTGATGTTGGAAGGAGAAGGTGAATGCAAGACAGAGGCCAGAGGTTCAGATCACATATTGGCATTACAGCAAATAAGACAACCAGTCCCTCTCACCCAGTCAGGTTTTACACCTGCCTCCCTCAACCAGGTGCCTCAGGTACTGGCCAGCAATTTCTATACTGAGAGGGAATGATGGGGTGTGTAGTCTGGCAACATCTGGAACAGCACATATTCCCTCAAGAACAAGCACCGCACTCTCTAAAAAGAGAGCCTCGGAGCACCTACAGAACACATCTCCTCATCCTTTAACTCCGTCCCGATCTCCCCACCACAAACTACCTCTGGACTGGGGAAGAAAACTTCCACGACGGTGAGGAATTGCCTCTGAACACGTCGAACCCTCTCACGATCGCTTCGCCAATGCCTCTGGTGCCGCCCGTCACGCAGACGACCTTGCCCGCGTAGCGCAGCCTCTCCGCCACTCCAGGTGATGTCTTGCACGGGTACCGCAGCTGCCCTGCCATTCCAGCTGATGTCGCTGCTTCTCCCAATTGCCAACCGAACTTTGGAGGCAGAAGCCGCAACATGTGGGTTTTTAAACCCATCGGCCACACCTCCTTTCGCGCGGCATGCTGGGGAATGCAGTCCTAGAGAGGGCCAGGATTACACTTTGAGTACTGGAAGTCCCTGGAAGACTTTGAGCCCTGTGGTGCCCCTTGTGCTGCTTCAGCTTTCTCTGATGCGTATTTATTCCGAGGCAACTCCCGCTGACTTGAAGAGGGGATTACTCTCGAGTAGTAAACGCTTCCTGAAGTTGTCCTACCAGAACATTCGTCATGCTTTCTGAGCAAACGAGTAAAATCGAGGTCCGCACTTGAGTAATTCTGAGACTTGCTTCACCTAAAAAACACGGCATAGCATTTCTTGGACTGGGTTGTATTTTCTTTGTTAGATATATATACCGTTGTGTTTAGTGTGAATCACTCCACTCGATAGTGTTAACTTTTTAGATAGTGTTAACTTTAAAAAATGAACAGTGCTGGTGCTTTTGCTTTTCACGTCAGTTCAGAAAACAGGTGATATGAAGAAAAGTATCTTATTTCTATAAGGTGCACTTTTCTGCTTATTCAGAAGCAAGCCAATTACCTCCAATGGGAGTGACTATATTTCAAGACTAAATTTAAAGACTGCAGTGTTGTGCATGTTTATCTCTCGAATGGGATCAAATAATTAAAATAAAACTCAAAAGTGCGGGCTGTAAATGGGATAAAGAAGCTTTCCCTTCCCTCCCCACCCACATTTAAATTAAAATGTTTGTAGCAGAAAGACGGGTTGAATGTAATCAAAACTCTGGAACGAATAATTGGTGCTTAACAATGCATAATGTTGAGTTTTATTAACTACAGAAATTGGAATCATGCATACAGAGAAAGATATAGCTAGTGTTAAAATGCAGGTGGCGGGTGGGTCCAGGGCCACATCATTCAGAGGGCAAAGCGGGCATCTGCCCAGGGCCCAATGTCTGTGGGGGGCCACAGGAAGAGGAGGATGGAGGGGCCAGAGCGAGGGTGAGGCCAGCCGGGGGGGAGGGGAGTAGTGCAGTGCATGGAGGTGATGCTCATGGACAGCAAGCCATGGGGGGGGAACGGGAGGGGGGGAGACGGTGCTCAACTCCTTTTCGCACCATACCTGCCCCTGATGGCATGCCCGCAGCACTCCATCTCCTCCCGCGCCTGAGCCCAGCGCCCCACGAGCCCACACGACGGGCAGCCTCCCTCCATCTTTTCCATGTGGGGCCTGCTCTGGCTTGCAGCCTCCCCATGTTCTGCACAGCCTCCCCATGTTCATCTTGAGGCTTCCCTTGCCTCACTTCTCCCTCATAAGCTAGACTTTCTCATTCTTTGGTTGGTTGGTTGGTTGGTTGGTTGTTTACTTAAGCATTGTTCTTACTGCTACCAAGATTACCTTGGTGAGTAACATTGTTCATGTTGTGTGAGCAAATTAGGTGGGAGGTAAGGCAGCGCTGGCGGCTGACTGCACAGGGGTTCCTCGCTCAGTTTGCATGGCTGGAGGTCTCAGGGCATATTTTTAAATCTTGTATTTGTCTTATTTTATTTTT